CTTCATTGCCTCCATCATAGTTTGGCCCCAGGTAAATAGCAAGGAGGGAACACAGTTCCACCCATCAACAGAAAGTTGGATTAACGATTTACTGAGCATGGCCCTGCCAATCAGAACAAGACCCAGTTTCACCCTCAGTCTCTCCCACCAGGAGGCTTCCATAAGCCTCTTATCCTTATTGATCAGAAGGCAGACAGACTGAAAACCACAATCACGGAAAACTAACCAATCTAATCATATGGACCACAGCCTTGTCTAGCTCAATGAAACTATGAGCCAGGCCGGGTAGGGCCACCCAAGACAGACAGGTCACAGTGGGGAGTTCTGACAAAACGTGGTCCACTGGAGAAGGGAATGGCAAACCACTTCAGTATTCTTGCCTTGAGAACCCCATGAACAGTATGAAATATTTTAGGCAATCCATTAAATGTAGTCAATTATTATTAAGAGAAATGAAACTAAGTTTTATTTTTTTAAGTACTTTAAAACAATCTATTAGTATTTAAAGTGATCTTATGTTCTATGAACATAGAGTTACAAATAAGATTTGCTCTCTTAGTCTAATCGAATCTCTGGGGAATAAAACACCCCTTACTATGACCCAGGCAATCTATAAACCTCCAAAAAGCTCAAACAGGAAAGGTAATTATAAATTGAAAAATCTGAATTATCACAAAGACCAATATTTGATATAATTGATAAATATGAATTTGTGTTTGTGTTCCTAGTAACTTATGACACCATCAAATTGTTTTGAGGAAGGCACTCAGAAGCTAGATGTTTAAAATGCCAAATAAATAAAAGTGCTAATAACAGTGTTAAGAGACCAAATAAACATCCTAACCCTGTAACCAAAATGGTTCAATACCTATATAATTTGCCATATACTCAAATAAGGAAGAGAATATAGTAAACATTTAATGGTTTAGACTTAGCATAAAAGTAAAACAGCTGCACAGATCATTTCCTACCATCAATGCTTCAAAGTAATGGCCACAATACAAGGTAAAACCAAAGATGTTATTTAAGAGGACAATGGATTTTAAGGATCTTCATTTTAGGAGAATTTCTTCCTCTCTCCTATCTCCCGTTAAGTAATAATATGTGTCCCACTGAGTTTACACAGTAAGATAAAATTTGAAGCCTAAAATTTTGGTCTTATTCCTAATTTGATAGTCTGATAAAGATGTATAGAGAACAAAAGCCAACCTACCTCTAAAATTTATCTTTTGAAAATAAAATATGTTCAAGAAGAAGAATCACTTTATTTCTTTTACATTAATATATCAAGTAACAATTCAACTTTGTGATTCCTAGTCCTTTACCTCATCCACAGAAAAAAACCACTGCTCTTTAGCAACATGAAAGTAATCCTCCTTTATTAAGTTTTTTAAACATTTTATCATATACTTATACTGAGTGAACAATTTGTTCTAGGAATAAATTAGAAAGTAAATGTTTTTAAATTAATTCAGCAAAGAATAATGTCACTACTCATATGGCAAAGTCACTCATTTGCCATGCATTTACTGAGAATTAAATGTCCCAGGAACTGAGGAAGCAAAACCAAGTAAGATATCACTAAGAGCTCAAAAGTATCTCCAACAAGGAACATTCATAGCAAAAAGATAAATATCCCCAAAGACCTCATAATTTGAAGACAGTTTCAATTTGCCCTTTAGCATTTAATTGCACTAAATAACATAGAGGAATATATTTTCAATTGGAAACTTTCCAGCTAAATTTTAATTAAGTTTAAAAGTAGATGGCAAAAAAGGAAGCACTATTTTTTTTTAATTCATATAATAATGTAAACCATCTTTCATCTTTAAGACACTGATAACTTTCATATTTCCCATGTTTACAAGTAATAGTTGGTCAAATCATTTTGGGGACCATGTTTCAACAAATTCAAATTTTTTGTCTCCCTTATTCCAAGAATAATCATATACAAAAACAGGACAAGCACATTCTCTGAAAGGTAAAAAAATATGCATTAGTATTATTAATGTAACATATTTACCAACTAGAACCCTTATTTCAGAGCACACATACATGTATTCTTTGAATTATGAAGTATTAATAATACCACTGCCCTACTATCTTATACAGAATAACTCACAAAGCTTGTAATGGAGCAGAGCATGATTGTGATCATGTACAAGAGAGGAAAAAACCAAGACACACAAATTCTAAATTACTTGTCAAAGACCTGAGAAAACTTAAGAGGCAAAACAGAAAATAACATTTGGAACCTACTAATACAGATAATTGACAAATTGAATGCAACTTTCTCATGATATTAAAAAAAATTATACATGTAAATTAACATATACACATTTACAAATAACTGAAAAAGCCAGGAACATCATAAGAACTTTTTATATGGCCTGAATTACATAGAGAAGTGTGGTTTCAAAATCAAAGCTGCTGAACAGCCGATTCCAGTGAGTCATGTACATTAGTTCAAAGTAACCTGAGAAAATACAGTATATTCAACATAATATTAGTAATTAAATTATGACCCAAGAAGTTTAATTTTATAAGAGGACTTAATAAACATATATAATAAATAATATGACCAAGCACTGAAATATATCTTCAGGGAAATAAAAGGTTAATTTAAAATGTCTTAAAAGTAAAATTAAAAAAATAGCATGTGTACATAATATTTAAGATGCAACTTAATCATAAAAGTGTGGGCTTTGGGGAGAGGGGTTTGCAAACAATGATGGTACCAATTATAAAATAAGAGAGATCTTAGGGGAAATGGTAGATACTGGCTTATAAGCATACCTCTTTAAACACATGAAATTCTACATAAAATTCTTCTTTAACCCAAGAGCAATGTGCTTAAACTAAATGTGTGTGTGTATGTAAAATATAGATAAAATATGTATTTTTAAAGAACAATCACATTAGAACTATAAAACATTTTATGGCAAGGCTTTATATCCAGCTTATTTTGTTCTCAGAGCATTATTAAGATATAATGTTTATAAAACACTTAATTCCCTCTTCATTACCTCTAAAATCATTGCAGAAAATCTAATATTATCTGCTTAACAAGGCAAAACTAAGGAAAAAGATTTGTATATCCATCATTTCTAGATTAACAAAAATATCTTTACCTTCCAGAAGACTTTCACAAAAATCCGACACTGGAATGTTATAATAATGCAAATGAGGATGAAAATTTTATAATAGGAACTGATTAAATAAATGAGAGGAAAGGCTAATAATAGTAAAAAATGTTTATCAAGAATCAAAGAAAGATGATACTTATTTTTTCTTTTTTAAGACAACTATAAAACAATGTCCTGGAGATACTCTTGTTATAAAGTGGTTTTTAAGATGAAAATTGTATTTACTTCTTAGGTTCTTTTTTTCAAATACATGACCAAATAAATAAAATAAAAACCTGACAAAAACATATAGAGTCTATAGCAAAAAGGCCTGCATCAGTCTACTATCTTAAAAAAATAGATAGGACGTAGATATTTACATAGATTTTAATAGTTATAAAAAGAATAACCAGCTCTCTGAATTATTGCTTCAAAATAATCATGCCCCACAATGCCACTCTTAACCCCCAAGGGTATTTTCTTCTAGACTGAATTTTTGTTCATTATGTAAGAGTGCTTTTATGTTTTTTCTTTTATTTATTTGTTGTTTTATGCATTCCAGTATGTTATGCTTATGCTTGGGATTTCTTTTTTTATATAAATCAGAAAATCATGTTGTGATGAGAATTATTCATGGGTCTCTTCTGATACTGCAACTAATTTACCCTAAACTTAAACAAAGCTTAATCTCCAGGGAAGCTCTCATGATATTCTACATAAACTATTTCAAAAAACAGTGGTCTAATAATACAGACTTTTTCAAGTTTGCTGAAGCACTTTTTATTTCTTCACTGGAATTTATACTTTTTCTTTTTCTATCTCAATGACAGCATAAAGAAGTCATGAAAGTTAAAACCACATGCCTTTAATTTAAGAAATTAAAACAAGCAAATTATACTTCTAATGACAAATAAATGACATCATTTTGGAAGCAAATATTTAAAATCTTATAAAGGTATTAATACACATTAACTAGTAATTTTTGAATCATTTAATTTCTATACCATGAATTAGTCAGGGGTTTATCAAAAGACAATTTTTGAAGGAAATCAGAAAGTGTTCCCATAACATACTAAAAAATTCTTTGTGACTCTGTCCTTTGAAAGAAGATACCTCTTTTTAGATGAGGTCTCCTTTTTATCACCCACCCACTGCTTCATCTCACTGAAAGCTGCACAATTTCATCATTTCAGCAAGAGAGGCAAAGGGCTAAAATTAGCAGTTTCTGAACCCTCAAGAATAGCCACTATGCCATATCACCTGAGATTCCTGATTAGATTATGTCTGATTTAAAAAAAAAAAGTAACAAAACAAAGAAACAAAGAAGAAAACAAAACAGAAAACAAAAAATATCTATCTAGGCCATCTTTTCACCTTTCTTTATTTCATAAGAGAGAAGCATTTAACACATTTTTTTTTTGAAAAATGATAAAGTACTAACAAAGTTCGTGTCAATAAAAAGTATTTCTTATCATTACTGCTAAAAAACTTACCAACTTTTATATGCTAACAAAACTCAGTAATTGTATTGCTTTATAAGATAAAACATAATAACCTTAGCTCAAAGAGTATAGATCAAATTATTTATGTGGCCTCTATCTATATATAGAACACAGTCAACTTACTCTTGTCAAGGGAAAATTAATTCTCTTTTGTTCAAAATCCAGACTATCACTCTTAACTATATCTAAATCCAGAGAATAACCATGTGTAGCACACTGGATGAAACTTGTTTCTGATGTACTTTTTTCACTAAATAAGATTTTAAGAAAGGTCCTATACTGTGATTTTTTTCCCCCCATTATCTCTGTGATGAGAAAATAATTAGGATGGAACCTTAATCCCCTAAAGACAAAGTCTCAGCATCCAGCTTACCTGACAAGATTTTCATTGTCTCCAGTTCCCTTGCAAGTTGCACATTCAGTTCGTAAATCTTCAGCCTTGGGCTTCTTTTGTAATACAGACTGCCTCTGTCTTCTCTCTCTAGGAACTCTTTCCTGTCATACAAGGAAGAAACAAAATATAAAATCAGGATATGAGGAAAACAGAAATAATTTTAAGCAAGGAAGTTTCCCAAAAGTTTAAACTATGCAAAATATGCTTAACTTATTCCAACCTCATGTTTTTCTTCCTCAGGAATGAAGCTTCGTTTTCGTCCTCTGGTTCTCTAAAAGAAAAGAAAGAAAGAAAGAAAAATCCACAAAAATATCCAATGTTTAATTAACAGTAAAAATAAATTTTCTCTGTTAAATGTTACTGCTTAGGTTAAGCACTTGGAAAGTTAGCAGCACTTCTAATTAATGCAGTACTTGCTCTATTGCACTGTTACAATTTATATCATAGAAAATAAAAACATGACAAATTAAGTACAGCTTACAGTAACAGTGCTTTACTTTTAAATAACAAATATTTAAAAAGAAAAATAAGCTACAAAATTAGCTTGAAGATTTATGAACACCATAGATGTCATACTATGATGATTTATGAAGAACATTTAAACTTTCATAACTTATCATATATGACTTCTAGAGCTAAACCTGGACTCACACTACATCTATTGTATGCCTCTGTGTGTGTGTGTATGTTTGTGTGCTGCACAAACATGTCTGAGTAACAAAGAATCAATTTTTAACAGCTATGAAACAAGTGGAAGGCAAAGGTCTCAGATGTCTCCCAATCCAGTTAAAATAAAATTAACTAAAACATGGTATAGGTGACTTGAGCTTATTTATTTAAAATTCTTAAAATTTATATCCTGTATTTCAGAACACATTTACCATGTCAAAGACAACATTCGTATGTTTTAAAATAATACAAGTACAATAGTATTTGCAGCCCATATGTTAAAAATCTTGACCCATGTAGCACAGACTCTGGAGATTTATAATTCTCATGTGAAGATCACTGTTCTTAAGACAGAATGAAGAGAAAGGAGGCACCGCTTTCAAAAATTACTTTGTCTGACTGCTGAGATCAAGGAACATTATTCCCAAGTTACAGTAGAGACCAAACAATTCTAAATTACTGTCATTTCAATTTTCCAGAGTACCAAGTCACTTATTTAGTACCCTGGCCAACTACATCCTGTTTAATCTACCCCTCGAGGAGAAGGGGGCAACAGAGGATGAGATGGTTGAATGGTGTCATTGACTCAATGGGTATGAGTTTGAGCAAACTCAGGGACATAGTGAAGGACAGGGAAGCCTGGCCAGCTGCAGTCCATGGGATTACAAAGAGTCCGACACAACTGGGCAACTGAACAACAGATGAGCAAGAGTTAACTAAATCAGTCATATAAAATAAGTAAATTTAAAGACAACATATTCATTTACATTTATACTGTCCATCAGTATATTTTGATTATATTATAGAAGAAATTAGGAAGAAAAAGTAAGGTACCCAGGGAAAGGTTTCAAATGCAGTCCACATTGGACATGATTGGGTGACTGACTGCACATACATCTATTTTTAATTCCAAAGAATTAGTACTAAGCCTTGCTTCTCAAAATATGAATCATGGTTCATAAGCACTGGCGTCCACTGGGAGTTAGTTAGAAATGAAGAATTTCATGCCCATAACAACACACTGAATTAGAGCTTGTTTTTTCACGAGATCCTCAAGTCAGTATACACACATTAAAGTTTGAAAGATCCTCAAGTCAGTATACACACATTAAAGTTTGAAAATAGCCTTTAATATTGACAACACTTACCCAAGTTCTAATTAAAACCTTATGGCTAGCTCTTTGTATAGTCATCTTTCCCTTCTATGGCATTCCTTCCTTTTATGCTTCAAATTCTGTCCCCATACACAATTTCTCCCAAAACTGATAAGGACCATGTCATATTCATCTTTTCAGACCCAATTAAACTTAATATAATGCATATTACATAGAAATTCAATAAATTTGTTTAAGTAAAACAAATATTAAGTATTTGGATTGAAACTACAAATGAATACACCAGATAATACAAATAACACTGACAAAAAGGATAAATTATTGTTCCCTTCTCTAATAATCTATTTTCAATTTGCAAAAATTATGCATAGAGCCATTTCAATAAGGTGATCAAAATTAATAACCACTATCAAAGGAAAAATATAAAAATTACTTATTTTATTTCTATGAACATCTAAAGAATGTTCAAAGGCCTTCACACATTTCCATATTTCTCTTCATTCAACCCATCTTTTGTTGAGTCATCTAGTTTTTGAATCATCTACTCATTGATTTAATTTTTAAAGTATATATATCAATGCTCCAAGTTCATGTTCTCAGTTCTTTTAAAAATATATAATTATTTACCATTTCTGATTAATACTTTAAATTTTCAAACATCTGGTTTGATTCCATCAATTGGAAGCTTTACATACCATGAAAGAGCTAATTTTTAGGTAGGTTGGTAAGAAGTCTAGGGCCTTCAAGGAGGAAGGGGTCCAGAGCCCTCGAGGAGAAAGGCGTCTGGGGCTCTCAAGGAGGAGAAAAGGACAAAGATTTTTTTCCTACGTAGCTTTGTCTTAGTCAATAAAACAATCTATCTTGCTCAAGGACATGTTTCTCCTTAACAAGAACCTTGTGACTAATCTTGCTATCTTAAGACATATATTGTGGCACATATTGTGGGAGTGGGTCTGGTGGGATCTTTCTATTGTTAGTTCTAATCCTGTTAATTTAAGATGTATGTTGTGGGAGCCGTCTGGTAAAAGTATATAAGGCCTTGATAAGATTAGTGAGCTGGATGCACTATCCTTCCCCTTTCTGATGTCTGTCAGAAGCTTTCTCTCCCTTTTTACACTTTAATAAAACTCTGCTACACAAAAGCTCCTCAGTGAGCAAGCCTGGCCCCTGGTCCTGAAGCGAAACCTTCTTTGGAGATCACAAGTCTGCTGCAATTACCATCATAAAGTGTAATGCCACACTGATCCTATCTCACAACTACAGTTACATGTCTCTACATTTATAAATTCTGTTTCATATTTTATGAAAGTAGTATTTTTAAGTGAATAAACATTTATAATTATCTGTCATTTTAACTTAAGTGTATATATTACAAGAAGGTAATCATTTATGTATTCCTGTAGTAATTTTAAATAACTAAATACAAGAAACCAACAAATAATTTCTAGCCAGAAAAACAAGGTTGTTACTAGCAACATGAAATTATAGCATCTTAGAATTCTGAGAAAGCAGGTCACAGAAGTAACTTGATCAGCAGTGATCACACAGCTGAAAACTGACTAAAGGTGAACTTCAAACCCAGCTCTCACAACTCTCAATTCAGTGATTTTTCTTGCATGATAAATCCAAGATTAATAATTTAATCCCACATAGAGATGAGTAAAACTATCAAAAGAAAGCAAATGTCTTATTCTCACTTGATAGTTAAATAAACTGTAACACTCTGACGTCTAAATGAAGTTCTTACATTTTGAAACACGTAAATGAGACAAAAGAGACAAATCTACCCAAAGAAGAGGAGACCTCAATACCTCAAGCTGACTCTATGTTCCACCCGATTTGGTACCTCATACATACAATGACTAACATGATCCGTTACCAAAGTGACTTATAGCAAGCTTCTTTAGCAAATATAACTAGCATTTCCAAAAATTAAAAATAAGAGGATTTAATCCAAACAGAATGCTTCACAATATCAAGTCCCTCAGCCAAGAAAATACTGAGAGTAGTGGGTTTTCCCCCTAGTTTTAATGACGTGCCAGCAACTGTAACTGTTGTAACTCACGCCAGTCTACAAACATAACGGACAAAATGTGTTAAACATGGTATCTTTAGTGAATAAAAAACGTAAGGGGAGTTAAAAAGGAGGAGAAACGACAGGAAAAAAAAAAAGTTTGCCTCATCCAACAAGTTTAAAGAATCAAAGAGCTTGCCCCATCTTAGATGTACATAAGTATTCATAACCAAGTGGTCATTTCATGGTATACACTGAGCCTGACACTACTTTAGAAACAAGATAAAGCAGAAGGGAGAACATAGTGCATGGAAGAAGGAAAAAACATTACTTAACAAGTATGTGCTTTAGATCTTAACACAGATATACTGTCTAGATGTTCCAAATGATTGAAAGGTTATTTCCAAATTGTGCTTCCTTTTCAATTATTACACTCTTAAAAGTAAATGAAAGTTTGAAAATCATTCCAAATCTTAACACGCTCCTATTTTTTTCTTCTTTGTTGCTTTTTAAGAACTTTATTTGCTCAGGGAACATTGACATTCTGAGCGGCTTATATCAGCTCAGACAGACCTGGCTCTATCCTTCTTTGACACATTTACTTGAAAACAGGAGTTAATAAAAACACCCACAAAGAGTGGCATAATATTAGAGACAATGTATCTAAGTTAGGAAAGAATAAAACATTTGTAGCTATAAGCATCATTTTAATAGCACATTCATCTGAAATATTTCAGTAACTTCCCTCGTTTGGACTAATAAACATGTAACAAATTTTAATTAATTAAATTAATTCTGGGTTATTTTAATTTATAATTAAGTCAGATGTACAACTATTTTCCCAAGGTTAGAATGACTCACTTCACAAATGAACTAAATTTAAAACTAAAAGACAGTGTCTCAACATCTTTGACATCATTAAGATGATTTCACAGTCATTTGTGCACTGATTTCTCTAAGTTTGAGACACCTTTTTGATGACAAATCACCATTTACACAGATGACAATAAATAAGCCGCACATGGTTAGACAAAACGAAGAATGCCTTCCTATGTAATTTATATATAAAAAGATAAGATGCTTATTTACTAACGAAATTCAAAATTCAATGTTAATTAGGACAATTAAACCTTGAAAAACCTCTGTCACGCTGAAATAGCTTCAGATTTATGCTGAGGAATAAATGTCAGGGCTGTCTTGTAGTTGTTCAAAATGCTTCAATGAAATATATATACAGCATATATATTTTTTTCCTTAAAAATAAGTATTTGTTTTCCAATTAAAAAATACATTAAAAACAATCATATATTAAAACTCATAAAATATTCAAAAGAAAAACGTTATACACATAAACAATGTGTGAACAAAGCACCATCTGTTTCTGTTGGCTATAGGCATACAACAGACGGAACAGTGATCACCAAAAATGAGTGTTTCCCCTTCTTGTCAACTGACTAAGAGTTTATTTTTACC